TGCTTTACAAGAAAATACTATTTCAGTTTTTCTACTTCAAAATTTCACATTTAATTCAGTGTTACTTGCCATTTCTTTGTAATTGCATGTTGCAATTTTTCAGTATATCTTACATGTTTAATATATATTAAATGAGAAATTAATAAAATGTAATAATATAATTCATATAATATATAACAAAATGTTTCATTACTTGTAAGAATTTTCCTTGATTTGTGACCTAGAAAGACTGCAAAATATATTTTCAAGTATACAGTATATTCGGGTCGTTTCTTCCATGTTTAAAAAATATCAATGAAAATTTGAACTATTAATTAACTTTGTTCATTTGGACTCATATATTATCCATCTACTGTATCTATCTAATATCTATCTGTATCTAAAATTATTGTTTAAAATACTTCAATTTTACAATATAATACTTCATATATGGGATATAATTATATATCTGTTTTATATTAAATTACATAATTGATCAAATTTTATAATGTAATTTATATAATATATAATTAGTACAATGTTGCAAATATATTCAGGTCTTTTTGTTCAATATATATACACATTATATTATATATAAATTATAAATATTATATATAAATATTGTACTGGTATATAAACTATAAAAACAGACAGGGATAGATTTTTAAACATCAAAATTAAGTAACAATTCAAAGGAAAATGTATATTTTTGATGCTGACACGTGTCACCATTTCTAACAGCCCTCTGAGCTTTTTTTGCAGTTTGCTTAAATAGTCTTGTTGCGTGAAGAAGTACAAATACTCAATGTAGTCTCTCTTTTGAAATCACTGAAATGGCATACATAATAATTCCACAACAATTAGACAAATGCTTTAGATGGGAGTAAGTCACTGCTTGACTTGTCACGTCAACAATAATGTAAGGGCTTACACTTCTTTCAGAAAGGATTCTGAAAGAAAATATATAAAAATCGTTCGTCTTAGTCAAATTAAACCACCTCCAGGCAGAGAAAAACACCTACATGAACATGAGCTCCGAACTGTCTGCCCAGTAGGAGGCACTCTGGCACCAATATCTAGATTTCACACACACAAACTTTCTCCAGGTTGTCTTACACTAAGAGTTATATCTGTGTGTTGATACATTTTGTTTAAAAATCAGCATGAATTCAAAGGTTTGCTAATTTCTTTTGGATTTCAAAGCTATCTGTCATTTCAAGTGGTTTTCAAAGCAAGGTGGTTGATTGCTGATATGAAGTTGATGTTGCTAGGGTTAATTGTATGCAATAATTCATATTGTAAAACTATAATACTAATAAATGGTATTAATATTTTGGTTTTGGAAGACATTTATCAGCGTGATGCCTCAAAATAGCCAAATTATGAGCCTGTCTGAAATATGGCTTCATCACTGTTATCCAGACATGATCGCAGATGACCTCAGCACCAGACGAAAGGCCATCAGAGGTCATGCAGTGCGTGTCTTCTGTGTGTAAAGCGTGTTTAGCTCCAGCGAGAGCATCAGCGCTGTGCTGTGCTGTGGAAGCGGGAGTGAGTTTACTCGTCTTCTGCTGCTCTGCACACTTTTTGTTTTCCTCTAACGATGCAGTTAGTGAAGTGTTCAGTGATGCCGTAGTGCTCTTTATTTTCACAGGGATTACGCAGTGATTAGTTCGCAATAAACGCAGCGGTAATTACGCAGTGGGAGCTCTCATTTTCCACCATCTCTCCTTCCTCTCTTCAAGCTTCAATGAAAGATGGTTGACATATCAAACATCTTGAGTTTTTTGGGGGAGGTTTGTTGACATACGATGGGGTCCAGGAGTCTGAGTGCATTTTTTTCTAATTAGTACAAAATGTTTCATTACTTGTGATAATTTGCTTTGATTAGTGACCAAGAAATGTCCAGAAAATGCATTAAAGTATTTCAGTTTATTAGCAAGTATAACTTGCACCAATCTAATCTATAAAGAAATTCTCTCTCTCTCTCTCTCTCTCTATATATATATATATGTATGTATATATATATATATATATACACACACACACACACAATTTTACAATATAATTTTATATAAACATTTATAACAATTTTTACATATATATTGTTTATCCACATATAAACACACACACCCATACACCTATATATGAAGTATTATATTGTCAAGTATCAATAATTCAACAGCCTACCTCACGACGAGTAGTTATCAGCGATTGTACTTGAGACAAGGATCAGTCACCACAAGGATTTCCTGTTTCAGAAAGATTCATATTCTTTCATCTCGGCTCATGTCATTAATTTGTGTCCTGGGGTCAGTTGTGTCCTCAGCTGTGCATAAAATCACTATCAACAGTCTTTGAAATGGGAACGTCAATCTTCTCGAGTGCCTTAAAGACAATATTTTCCATTAAAACACTTAGACTTCTGATGAAATGCTGGTGTGTCATTTTCATCATAGAGATGTGATGGATGTTACAGAGATTATGGTGTGATTCGGACCGGGCCGTCGTGTTTTTGTCAGTCCCCTCTCTCTCATTCACTCCCCTCTCTGGATTCACAGATATAGGGGGCCGTGTCTGGGGTTTATGAAAAATACATCTCTCTATCGGGGCCGGCAGACACAGACCCTCTCACCCCAGAACAAGCCACCGCCACAAAACCTCCCCAGAGGAGAATGTGAGCGCTCACAGGCCACTCTTTCACTGCTCAGTTACGTTTCACTGAAGCCAGCTTTGTTTCTCTCAAAACTCTGAAAACAGAAGCAAAAGAGAGAAGTGTTTTCATACAGTCTTTCATACTTTCATACTGTTTCATACTGTATTCTATGCATACAGTCTTTCATACAGTAAGAGCACAGTGATCTGGATCAATTTTGATTGCATGCTTTAGTATCACTTTGTATCACGCTGTCTCTACTCTACACTGTAAAAAAAAATCTGTGACATTTACGGTAAAATACCGGCAGCTGTGGTTGCCAGAACTTCACCGTAAAAAATATGGTAGCAACATTTTAGGTTTTACAGACTTAACTTAAAGGGGTCATATTGAAGTGTTAATATCTGTTTTGAACCATTGTAATGCACTGATAACTACCAAAAACTGGTGGTGATGATAAAGTCACACGTTGAACCTAAACTCATCACAAACAGCTTTTCTATGAGCTGAGGAGGGCAATACTTATATAGAAGGTGCACACAGTGTCATTCACACAAACACTAAACCCCATCATGGTGACACACATGATACTGAAATAATGCAATAAACATTAATTTAACCATTAGATGTAAGATTAAACCCTAATGTACACAACCGATGAGAAAAAACTAAGAAGAAACATGTTATTTCAACAAAAAAAACATCAAATATGAAGTGTCATGCAGGGAATTCTGGGAGTGTCAATTTACGGTTTGTCACTGTAAATTATACGACTTTTTCTTTTTCACTTCGAAAAACCGTATTTTAACAGTATATTACTGTAAAATTACATTAAATGTAATCAAATTTATTCACCGAATATAGTATGGAAACTTACTGTTAACCAGTTAACAGGTTTTCACTGTAGCATTTTTACAGTCTTTTACTGTTAAAATCACAATCATTTTTTATAGTGTAGAGGATTGAAAAAAGGTTTTACTCACCTCCTTGAAGCTCTCGAATGTCATTCTCTGTTCTATGTACTCAATCCGGACCATAGCTTTTACAAGAACTGGTGGTGTTTTGCCTTCAATGACTTCATGAGCTTTGGTGGACAGAAAGATATAGTTAATACTGACTTTTATAATAAATGTTGGTCTGTTTTTTACACAAAGCTATCATTCAGTAGATTTAGAATATAACACACGAGTTGCATGTTTTCATCCTTTTTATACAGTAGCTCAACAGTCATGGAAATTGCGCATTTAACTTGTTATATAGAAAGAAGCCATGTAAATGTTCTTGAATGAACTATATATTACAAAATATAATGTAAAATATACTGACCTCCTTTATTTGATCAAAAATACAGTAAAAACGGTCATTTAAAAAAAATATAACCAAAATAATTATTAATATGTCATATAATATAAATGAATATAATATAATATTGTCAATGTTAATATAATAAATAAATAATTATTAATGTTATTATAATATGTACTTTAAAATGTAATTAATTCCTGTAACGGAAAAGCTGAATTTTCAGACTGTGCTTCATACAAAACTACCATTATTTCAGAAAACTTTGGATATATGTGTTGTACGGATCACTTTTGTTTCACTCATGTTTGCATTTTGGAGCGCAACAGTCGTGCAAGTCATGCAAATAATGGTTAATATACAGAAAGATGCTGTGTACATATTCTATACTACTGTTTTTAAAAGAATCATTTTACCAAGGCTACACTTATGTAAAAAAATACAGTAAAAATGTCAAATATTATTACAATTAAAATAACGATTTTCTATTTTAATATATTTAAAAATGTAATTTATTCCTGTGATGACAAAGCTGAAGTTTCAGTTGCATGGATCACTTTTGTTTCCTTTTTGGAGCTCAACAGCCATGCAGGTCATACAAATAACTGTTGATACATAGAAAAAAGCTATGTTATTCTTAAGTGTTTCACAAAATAAATGACAGTTTGGAGGGTACAAACTAATTTGCTCTCCATTTAACCTCTTTGAGGTCTTGGAGAAACAATTGAGATACTACAGAGATCTCATTGCTGATTTTTCACTCTGTTTACAGTATTTTGCTTATTTCCTTGCTCTTTCAGTCCTCCCGCATGCTGAGCTCTTATCATTGCTTTATTATGTCCCTGTAATTTCTAAAATAACTGCTCCCGCTCTCTTTTTCTTTCTTTTATCCGTCTCCCTTCCCCTCTCTTTCTCTCTCTCGCGCTCCCGCTCTCGCTCGTACTCAGCACCTCCTCCTCCTTCTCCTTCTCCTCAGTTGGATTCTTCAGTCGGTGGGCAGGAACTGTGTCGGTTTCTGAAGAAGCCGAGAGAGAGAGAGAGAGAGAGAGAGAGAGGGGGGGAGCGAACTGTGTCTGGGTCAGCTCGGTCTGTCATCTCAGACAGTCAGAGAGAGCGAGAGAGAGACAGACGGCACACAGGCAGCAGGATACAGGAGGTATGTCAGAGGATGTGGTTTCCCTGAGCTTGAAGAACACTGCACAGACATACTTTGAGCATGACCGGCAGCACGCAAAGTGTGTTTTCTGCGCTCCGCTAGCTGCCTGCCGCAGGAGGACTGATCCGCTCGGGATCCTCGCTTCTTGTTATTACTGTGCCGTCACATCCAACGGGAAACGTACCGCCGCTCTTGCGGTTCACACACCGGATTGGGGATCACTGACTCAAACTTGCAGCCTCCGCGTGTCCACAGCTCCACAACAGGTAAGCGGTCCTTCTCCATTGATTTCCTCACTTCATAAAGCATGCTGTCTGTCTAGGAGGAAAGCAAACATGACAACAGTGCAGTGATAAAGAATCAATCATGGGAAGCCACAAGCCACAAGTTTGCCACTGTGTGATGCGCTACAGCAAACGTCTTTATCCGTTAACACAGACACATGCTCCTTGTAAAGCCTATCACACAGATCAATGGTTTAGTTTGAGTCACATGTACAAAGTCTGACAGGAAGACTGCATACTTGCCTTCGATGCTTGACCGTTGGCTTTTTTTAAGAAGTGTTTCTTCAGCACCTCATTTCGGTTGTTTGCCTGAAATCAAAGGATTTTGGTGAGAGATCTCTTGAATAGGATGTAAACTAAATATCATTGGAGCATTAAACCTAAGTGAAGTCAAGCATCAGCATTAAGTAACCTAATTTGTGTTCACACTGAAAGCGAAAATGCTGAATCTGAAGATATTTGATGTTTAAAGTCGGTATGAAATGAAAATTCAGCTATTTTCTAAATGCATGTTATTGGTTGTACTGTGAACAGTCCATTTGTGCATGTTTTATTTTTACTTGTTTTTGACCACGTCATTTTTAATCAAAATGTCTATCTTGTGGTCAAACAACAAACTTCTCCAGTCATTTATTGTGCATAAACCCACCCCTTTCTTAAAGTCAACTGCAAGCTCACATTCAGATCTGTTTCTCTCGGATGTACATCATAATACAAAATAAAAGATCTGTTGCTACTTTTGTTTCATCACAACTGTAGTATCAACTACTGTTATGTGTAGCGTAATTTTGAACCAATGAGATTTCACTGTAGGTGGGGCTTCCTTACACAACAGTGCAGAAATATAAACCAAGAGCCCAACAAAATTTGCTGTTGATCATCAAATGTTGATCAAATCGAATAAAAATAATAAATAAGAATATTCTAAGCTTTTTTAGGCTTTTGCACAAAAATCTCCCTACCATGTTCTAAGAAAGCTAGTTTATGGCTATTAAAAAAATGAAATATTATGACATTAATTATACATTATGACATTTTTTATTGTTATTTTAGTGTAAAGTAATATAACATTGTAGTTTTTCTGAGTATTATTATTTTTAATTAGCTTTTATTTTTATATTTTTATATATTTTTTTATTTCAGTAATTGTATGTACTTGCCATTTGTGTTAGTTTTTTTATTTTCTATTTATCTTTAATTTATTTATTTATATATTTATTTTATATATATACTGTATATATATATATATTTATTTATTTATTTATATATTTTTTAAATGATAACAACACTAGTTTTTGAATATTTTTGTCACATGCCCATTACGTTATACTATGTGGTATTATTTTGGAAATAAAAATAGCTATTTAATTTAAAACTTTGAAATTTTGTATAAAAACCTTTGGCAGTCTGATCAAATAAGTCAAGAAAGAGTTAAAAATTTAAAAAATCAAAGCCAAAACTGGAAGGTCAAGTCGAGTGCATTGCATTGTTGCACTGTTCTCTGTTGTGTACTTCTCATTTTCTCAAATGTACTAGTTTATCAAAGTATTTCTTACATACATATAGAAAATTTGCATACTGTACACAGCATGCATACTAAATACTACTGAAAGAGTATGAGTAGTATGTTAGTATGCTAATCTATACACAGTCTAATTGTGCTGTTGATGCTAGTAGGCGGTCCCGCTAACGGTCCCTGTCAGTCATATTGCCGGAAATTGCCAACTCTCATTATAAATGAATGTCTTACGGACGCAAATCGCTGTCAGTGTGAACGCCCTTTAAAAAAGGAATGTAAGAAAAGAGAACAGAGAAGGCAAACTGTCATTAATCGGTTCCAGACGGCGGTTTGGAGGCTGTGCGCAATGAGTTGCGCCGCTGCGCCGGGCGCCTCAGGAGCCGACACACAGAGCTGCTGTTGTCATGGAGGAATCTGGTGCATCATATCACGGGCTAGTCACCTCCGACCCCACGCATACTCGCTATTAGAGAGTTACTGGAGAGTAATGCTGACTTCAGTGTCATATGTGCATCAGCAGGACCTTTTTATTACAGCTCAGAGGCTGTTTCCTTGGGAGAAAAAACAAATACCAAACAAACTCGATTTTGTGCATTTTCAAAAAGAAATATGAATGGTACTCGCCTGTGCAAAAGTCTCTGAGGGTGCTGTGAGTTGTTTCCAGGGTGCTGCACTGTAAACAACCTGCAATAACAAAGTGAGATATTTAAATCTGTTTTACTGTGCCCTTGTGATATTTAAAAGTTTGATCACTACTGATAAAAAAGTGCACTTTAAAAATGATCATAATTTTAACAGTAGAAGACTGCAAATGCCATGATAAAAACCTGTTAAGTCGTTAACTGTAAGTTCCCTTTCTATATACGGTGCAAAACTGTAAATCTAACAGGACATTTTATGTAATTTTACAGTAAATTGTCATATTATAATGTATAGCAAAAAGTAAATAAATAAAGAAATTGACAAGTTAAATCCATAAAACCTAAAACAACGCTTTTTAAAAAAAATATATTTTAAACAGTGTATCATTCAAAACAGTAGCAACAAACATTACAGGTCAAGATACATATTTAAGTTTAATACTTTAGTTAGGGGTTCATTCAGATCACTAGAATAACTAATAATAGTGGTGCTTGACTTACCAAACACTAATGAGACAATTGCTGACTATACAGTAAGAACAGAGCTATTATTAATAACATTAGTTACTCGGTATATGTAAAACATACACTCACCGGCCACTTTATTAGGTACACCTGTTCAATTGCTTGGTAACACAAATTGCTAATCAGCCAATCACATGGCAGCAACTCAATTACTCACCCTCAAAGCATCCTATAGGTGTGTATGACTTTCTTCTTTCAGACGAATCCAGTCGGAGTTATATTAAAAATTGTCCTGGCTATTCCAAGCTCTATCATTGCAGTCAGCGGGTGTTGCAGTTGAACAGTCCACAAGTCGTCAAATAAAGCGCGCGCATCCATAATAAAACGTGCCTCACACGGCTCCGGGGGGTGAATAAAGGCCTCCTATAGTGAATCCATGCGTTTTTGTAAGAAAAATATCCATATTCAAAACGTAATAAACACTTTTCTCTCACTTAGGGTTAGGTTAGGTTAGGTTAGGTTATGAAATCTGTCATACGCGTAAGGCGTTCTGGCGGATGACGCACGACGTATGCGCAGCATGCACGCCTCTGAGATATGCTAGTGTCGCGAGTTTGTTTATAGAAGCAAAAGAAGCAACGTTTCCTTACTTTAGCAAAGGAAAACAAGTCTCCTCTTGGCTTATATCGAAATCCTCATGCGCCGCTCAGAAGTGACGCACGCGGAGAGATCAAAACAAAACAACGTTCACTTATTAGAAGTACAAAACGAGGATTTTTAAAGAAGAATGTCGGAGGATTTCGATATAAGCCAAGAGGAGACTGGTTTTCCTTTGCTAAAGTTAGGAAACTTTGCTTCCTTTGCTCCTGTAAACAAACTCGCGAGACTAGCATACCTCAGAGGCGTGCGCGCTGCGCATACGTGCTGCGTCATCTGCCGGAACGCCTTCCGCATATGACAGATGGCGGAAGTGATAGAAAAGTGTTTATTACGTTTGAAATATGGATATTTTCCTTACAAAAACACATGGATTCTCTACAGGAGGCCTTTACTCACCCCCCCGGATCCGTGCGAAGCACGTTTTATTATGGATGCGTGCATTTATTTGACGACTTGTGGACTGTTCAACTGCAACACCCGCTGACTGCAATGATAGAGCTTGGAATAGCCAGGACGATTTTTAATATAACTCCGACTGGATTTGTCTGAAAGAAGAAAGTCATATACACCTAGGATGCTTCGAGGGTGAGTAAAACACAAGCCAATTTTCATTTTTGGGTGAACTAACCCTTTAAAATATATCAGATGACCATATGTGCTCTTTTTCCCCCACACATGTTCTGTCAAATTGCCTAAAATGTCCAGGTTTTGGCTTTATTTTACTACAAACATGCACGATTGGTCGATTGTGCATAATGCCTTATTGGACAGACTTCTTTTACTCATTACCTTCTACAAATATGAAAACAAAGCCAAAACCAGGACATTTTAGGCAATTTAGAAATCCTGGCCAGGACTAAGATGACATATTGGTCACCCTAAATAATATTAGTATTAATGTGGAAGGCATAATTAACATAATTAGGTCTTTGATGAAAAATATGTAAGTTTGGGGCTTTTGGAAGTAGACTGAGCACGTTTGAGACATTGTTAAGATCTCTTCTACTGTCTTTAACAGTGGCGGCCTTTTTCTTAGTAGAAAATCTTGTGAATAACAACTTGATCTGTAATTTCCTTCACCTTATAAGTCACACGCAGCAAAAGTGTAGCTAATTGCATCTTTATGACTCCTGCAGCTGTTTATTCTACCTGTATCATCATCGGAAGCTGGGCTGGTGTGTTAGGAACATGATTAATACACGTGAAGCTTCAATATTTTGGTAACCTAATTAGGACAGAGAATCCTCTCTTGTGCTCAATTAAATCTAATTTAGATAATTGGAACGCCTTAGTGCATTCGAAACTTAATTACGACATCCTTCCGAGACGTGACGCGCAAAAAGCCCAGTGTGTTATTCGCAGGGCTGTACCTGTGATCTCTGAACGGCTTCTCCTCGCGTTCAATTAGGGCAGGCTCTCCTCTGCTTTCTCTGAGAGAAAATGTACACCCTCTCCTGTGATTAGACAGCCTACAAATCAGATGTCACATTCGGCACCTTCTCCGCAGCTGAGTCAGTTGAGGAGATGAAATGCAGCTTTAGCTGTGCGCCTTGATGGAAGATAAATGGTAATTTTTGTTCTTCTCCTGCGTGAGGTGCCACTTTGAACGGATTACGCTTCCCGGATGTGCGCGAGGATTAGGTTCTTCCCTCCTGTCGCAACGACGAGCTTCTGCCACAAATATTCAGGCCGCTAGC